AATTTTAATTTTTGAGATATTTTTATAATATTATTTAAAGTGTAATTATGATATTTTTTAGGAATAATATAGACATAGAATAATGCAAGACTTTGCTCGAAATTAGGAAGAAAAATGGTACATAAATAGGCCGTACGTCGTGGGGACAATGGAAAGGTTTAAGAAAATTTTAAAAATTAGCAAGAGTTGAGGTAAGTGATTACTATGGTATTGTTAGCACGATTTTGGTATTTTGAGTATAAATTATTAATGACGTTATTTTGTAATTAGAGATTTTGCTAAAATTAAATATGTAATTATTTTACGAGCATTTCGTGAATTATCAAAATGTGAAATTTTGATTTTGAAATTAAATTGAATTATCAATATGTGAAATTTTGATTTTAAAATTAAACATAGTATTATTACGCTTTCATTGTCGATACAAGGTTTTGAAATTGTGTTAACTAATCATTATAGGGGAAGGCTGGTCTCATCGACACTTTGAACCCACCTATACCTTGTTAGGAGTTTGTTTATGCATATACACGCTGATTTTGTGTTTCAGTGTATTAGGAATGTTTGCGTGCCCACTAGGTTTACGAATTTGGCTTTATTGGAAATTTGTCCTAAGCAAGATATGGTTGTACATATTTGTTATACCTCCATAGCATTGATGAAATTAGACTCATTGTATGATGAAGTACTGTAACTCTATTTTGCACACATATGATTTATATGTATGATTTTGTATCTATTATTATGCTTGAGTATAAATGTATGATATATTGCTAACAAAAATGCTACAATTTTATAGTATATCGCTTACTCACATGTTACCCTTTTAGATACTAAAAATAATAGTGCATAATAGTGGGTAATATTGGGCGAGATTTTTTCGAAAGGTAGGTTCTAAATATATCATGTTTGAGGTTATTATTTTACATTTTCAAGAGTTGTAATGTAATTAGAATCTCGTACTGTATATATATATAATGTACATATGTTTTAAGGGATGGATATGTTTCTACGTTGTTGTAATAATAATAATATTTTACTATTTATAATATTGTCCTTCGATCATACCCAATAAGAGAAAGTCATGACAATAATAACCAAAAATATAAAAAAAATAATATTAGAATTGCCGAGATAATAATAAACTTTATCCACCATTTTTTCTATCATATCTAATATTATTAGATATAGCCTAAATATCCCCCATGTGATTTTGAACAATTTATAATGTAGAAGTTATATGACATCGGATATGAATACTTTGTGTTGTATCTCTTTCAAAGAAAAAAAAAAAACTTGGTGTTGTGAGTGATGGTCACCTGTCTCCAACAAAATTATGGCTGTTCTTGTCAATTTTCCTGATTAATTTATTTGAAAAAAGAAAATATATATTTATAGAATTTGTATTGACGGGTCGGGTTTGCAGGAGACAACAGCCATTGGAGCTCCGAGGCGTCAATCCTGCCCAAGTCCATCAATCAAGCGACTATAAATAGCGCCATCACATCACATCGCCTGATTTCTTAATGCCCCTGCGCGTTAATGCCCAATTTAGCATTGTATTGTGGGTTTCTTTTTCTTCCAAATATCAGGCCATCAAACCCCCTCAACCAAAACCAGGAAAAGCAAAAGAGAGAGAGAAGATAATCAAAGGCTTCTCTTCTCTTTCGATACAGCTTCCTTTGACTGTCTGTAAGTCTCTTTATCCTTCTTTTTCTCTTCTTTATCTCTCCAGATCTGTGTCTAATTATTTCGATCAACCTCAATTTTCCTTCATATTTCTTGCTGAATCTATTTTGTCTTTTTCCCTAATTGATTGACGATCTCATTAATTGCCTG